GGGGGTGGAGCTGGACTGCTGCGTGGGGAGAAGGTGACAGATGTGCTGCGGGGTTGTGTCGGGAGTGTTGGAGGAAGTAGGAGCAGGGGGCGGGAGGGTGGAGTAGTGAGAGAGGAGGGGGGGGGTTGGTGGGGAGTGGGCGAAGGTTCATGTCCTTAGGAGGCGAGGTAGGATGTCTATCGCTGCAGTCGGATGTCGTTGGGAGAATGTGGTTCCTTGCCTGAGTCTTTGTGCCTTCGCAGCGTGTAGTTTGTTATCTTGGCAAGGCGGCATTCGGATTGGGAGCTCCTTCAGTCTTACGGTGATTGGTGGCACGTCGATCTACGGCTGGATGGTTGTTGCAGTTCGTCTCTGTGAAGCTGTTGCTGTTGCCAGCTTCGACCTTTGATCGGCTTCTACCTGGGATGTTCGAAGCAACTTCGAGGAGGGTCGATGTGGCCAGCTTCCCTCTTTGTGATGGTGCACGTGCTGGGGGCGCGCTCGGGCGTGGCTTCTTCAAGCCCTCGGGCCGATGGCGGGCGTTGCCTCCCAGCTTCGAAAATTCGAAGTTGGGCGTCATAAGGACCTGATTTAAATAAATAAATAGAAAAAGGGGTGGTAGGTAAAGGTAGTATGAGGCCGATATGGGTAAGTTAACAAGAGGTAGATAGGTGTGAGAGACAGTGAGACAGGGAAAAAAACATTGAGAGAAGAAAATAACCGAGTAGAAGCTTGGTTGGTAAACTTGGTATACAGTATTGGCTCGGTAATGACTGGCTGATTGGTATGGATATCTGAGATTAGGGTTACAGTAGTATGTGAGATCCGAGTAGATAAGCATTCTGAGTAGTCAGCATCAATCTCTAGCTCATTATCTCAATCATCCTGAAATGTTCCTGAATCATCCCAAATTTTCATCAATCATCAATGTATTCCAATTATAAGGGACGTTGGGCCCGGTTCCCAGCACGTGCTGCTACCCACGAATAGATTGGAGCAATTATTAAAAAAAAAAAAACATAGCGGATACAGTTGTCCCCCATGTTAGAAGAAGACAGCTTCTTTTTTTTGGAAAAACAAAAAACGGGACAAACCAACTGAGTATGGATGAACAGACAGCACAGAGTCAAACAGGCACATGCATGGATCGACACACGAAAGCTGACCGGGCTAGGTGCCGTATCATAACCGACAGCCTGGAGGATGCGGCATGGGCCAAAGAAGCGACGCCGAAACTTGCAAAGCATGTCCGCTTCGAGCTCTAAGTGGCGGGCGTCGATAAGCACATCATCGCCGACTTTGAATGGATGATCCATTCTCGATCGGTTCGCACATGCTGCTATGCGAGTCTGGGAAGCGGCTATGTGCTCATGTGCGGTCTTCATGATCGACGTCATGTGTGCAACCCAATCATCCAGCGCGGGACAACTCGTGTCGGGGTGCAGCTGGGACGGTCGAAGGAAGTCCGCGGGAACACGAGGGTGATAGCCGAGGTCGCAATAGTAAGGCGACATCCCCGTGGTTGGCGAGACGGCGTGGTTGTAGGCTATCTCCGCGTGGGCAAGATGGAGATCCCACTGCTGGTCGTCACGAACAATCTTTCGGAGAATATCTCCGAGAGTCTTGTTTGTGATCTCGGTCTGACCATCAGTCTGAGGATGGAAAGACGAGGAGAAGCGGAGCTGAGTGCCGTACACCTCGTGGAGCCGTCGCCAGAATCGTCTGGTAAAGCGCGGGTCACGGTCAGATATGATGCTCAGAGGTAAGCCGTGGTTACGCACGACTTGGTCAAACACGATGTCGGTGACCTCACGTGCACTGATGGCATAGCGGCACGGAACAAAGCGTGCACGCTTCGGGAAGCGGTCGACGACGACCAGGATAGCATCATGACCGCGAGGGGTCGGAGGACGAAGGGGACCGATAAAGTCCATCGAGATGGACTGCCAACGACCCTCAGGGATAGGACGAGGCTGAAGCAAGCCATAAGGCAAGTGGTTCGCACTGTTCACCTCCTGACAGGTGGGACACTCTGCGACATAGTCCTTCACAAAGTCCTTGCGCTTCGGCCAGACGTACAGGCGGCTCACACGAGCCAACGTCTTGTGGAAGCCCATATGACCGGCGGCTGCCTGGTCATGGAACTCTGCTACTGCGCGGACACGTAGCTGTCCAGTGGAGGGAACGCAAATATGGGGCTCTCTGGTGCCCTGTGAACCGTGCCAGTACACGAGACCGTTGTCCCCGAGAGAGTAGTTCGGGACGGTCTTGCCACTCCGAAGGGTCGCGTGGATGTCGCGATAGTCGGGGCAGTGACGGTACTGAGTGCGAAACTCGTCGATCACCGAGTGGTGGAGAGTGGTGACCGAGATGGAAGAGAGTTGGATCTGCTCCTGGTCGTGGTCAGGGCGCCGGGATAGGGCATCTGCGACCCGATTAGTCTCACCCTTGATGTGCTCAGTGGTGAAACTAAACTCGGATAGGTCGCGCCACCACCGAGCCTGTCGAGGAGTGAGCTTCGGTTTTGTCAGAAAAGCCTGGACAACAGAGTTGTCCGTACGCACCATGAACGGTGCCCCGTGCAGGTAGTGACGCCAGTGCCGAGCGGCATAAACTACTGCGAGAACCTCACGTTCATCAGCAGTGTAGTTTATCTCGGCGGGCAGGAGCTGACAGAAGTAGAAGGCTATCGGACAATCACCTGAGCAAGACTCGACAGTGCCGTCCTCGGCGATGGTAGGAGAATAGCCAATAGAAGGCTCGTCAGTAGCTGGACGAGTAGGCGTCAGTCAGGAAGCAGAGGTAGGGGTAGGTGGTGGGAAGCGAGGGATATGGGGATGAGAGGAATCAGGAGAGGAGGGGAAGACCTGAGAAAGCACTGCTCCTACAACGAAGTCTGACGCATCGGTGGTAAGGATAAAAGGGCGGTCAAAATCGGGTAGGTGAAGAACCGGTGCGCATGTCACCGCCTTCTTGAGGGCGCGGAAGGCSTCCTCGTGGAGGGGTGTCCAAGCCCAGGGTGGGTTCTTCCGAAGGAGGGTGGAGGTAAGGACRTAGGAATACCTAGCGTATCCCCGGATGAAATTACTATAGTAGTTGATCAGGCCTAGGAAGCTGCGAAGCTGCTTGGCGGATGTGGGAGCGGGTCACTCCGCAATAGCAGTGATCTTCGCATCGTCCATGTGGAGACCCTGGTCAGACACGTAGTGTCCTAAGAAATCCACTTTGTGTTGGGCAAAGCGGCACTTGCTCAGCTTGGCGTAGAAGCCATGTCTGCGCAAGCGGTCAAGGACGTCGCTGAGGTGTCTGAGGTGCTCCTCAAGGGTACGGCTGTAGACCAGGATATCGTCGAGGTAGACGAGAACGTACTGCTCCAGGATGTCCCTGAAGATGTCGTTCATCGCCCTCTCAAAGGTAGCGGGTGCATTGGTGAGGCCGAATGGCATCACCGTGAACTCGTAGTGGTCGAATCGCGATCGGAACATGGTCTTCGGCTGTTCGGCTGCAGCTACGCGGATCTGATGGTAACCGCTACGAAGATCAATCTTCGTAAAAAAGCGGTTGCCTGCTAGGCGGTCGAACAGCTCATCGGAACGAGGCATGGGGTAGCTGTTCTTAACCGTGTAGCGGTTGAGACCGCGATAGTCGATGCAGAGACGGAGAGTTTCATCCGCTTTGCGAGCAAAGAGGACGGGTGCACCCCACGGGGAGTTGCTGGGTTTAATGAAACCCAGTCTCAGGAGCTCCTCAAGCTGACGCTTGAGTTCGGTGGCCTCGGGGATCGAGAGTCTGTAGGGTGCCTGGTGGTGAACACGATAGTCAGGCACAAGCTGAATAGAGTGCTCGACGTCACGCATCGGTGGGATGCCGGCGTATGAGAACGACGATGGGAAAACGTCGTGATACTCTCGGATGAGGTCACGAACTGCGGGCTCCAGGTCAGCCGTATATCGTGCGAGTTCCTCAGCGTCAGCGTCCGCGTGCGACGGCGGGGTGGACTCGACGGACGACGGAGGGACGGAAGTAGAGATGGGAACCATGGAGATAGAAGGAGGATCTGGCTCCAGAGGGATGAACTCGACGTCGGGATAGGGTGGATCATAGTGTAAGAGATCCGTCACGTTCACCATAAAGAAGGTGACGTCGTCCGGCCGGATGGAGTGGGCGAACTGCCGAGGCGAGGTGACAGTGATAGAGGGAGGTGGTGTGGGCACGGAAGGCTCCGGGGGAGGAGGATCGGGGCGTGGTGTCGCGGTGGTACCTATGAAAGGTACGCGATACGTCTGTCCACACTTCGTTTTGAGAACGAGAGTATTCGTCGCCCAATCGGCCTCGGTGCTGCGGAACCGACGAGACCACGGGGTGCCGAGAATGAAGTCGTACCCCGTCTCCATCACATCGAAATGTGCAGCGGAGCGGTGGCGACGAGACGCCGGGGAACGATCAGTCGGCTCGAGAGTGAGGAAGAAAAGGAGGTCGGTGACCGTCTGATCAAAGGAGCGCTGGGTCTTGTCATCCCCTAAGGTAACGGAGATGGGAGTCGGAGACCCTGTCGTGGGTTAGCGAGCTTCTTTCACCACGCGTGGGTGAATGAAGTCGCCCTGAGAACCGGAATCCCACAGCGCGGAGTACACCCTCGTGGAGGTCTCGAGTCGTACTGGGATGATCGGGAGGGTGCGATCAGGGTCAGAGAGGATGGCGAGAAGGCGWCGCAGTGCAGCGACATRGAGGGTGAGTCGCTCCTGACGAGCCTGGAGCATGCTCAAGTCCAGAAGAGAGGACACAACGTCCTCGCGAGTAGCGAGCTGCTCGCTGCAACGGGCTGAGCGAATGGCTCGACGCGTCGGTAGTCGCGGCGGGGAAGGAGGTAAGACGATGGTCTGCGGAGGTGCAGACGGTACTGTGACAGAGGGCTGAGTACACTCTGTCGAGTCCTGCGATACCTCAACTCCAGTAGCGAGAGGGGCGAACCGCGACGGAGATGTCGGGAAGCCCACTACTGAGGAGGGCGCAGGTGTACACTGCACCGTGGCTAGGAGGCGCCGCGGAGATGCGAGGCGTCGGGGGGGGACTGAGCACGACGCTGGCGGGAAAGGTCAGCGTAGTGGCGGTCAAGGGCGGTGGTATAAGGGCACCGTGAGGAGGTATGACCGTCCTGACGGCATCGCAAACACCCACGTCGGCCCATAATAGCCGCGCGCTCCTCAGCGGAAAGGACACCGCGAGGAGGAACAAAGCCCTGAGGGAGGTCCTGCTGAGGGACCTCGGGGRGCGACGCGCCAGCGTGACCAGGGCGGCTGCGTGCCCGGGAAAGGGTGGAGAGGATAAGCTGGAGGCGCTCAGCCATAGGGAGAGTAGGGTCCTCCAGGTGGTGCTGGACGGCATCGTCGAGGTCGAGGTCATCGCTATGATCACCCTCTGGCGACGACGGGGCACCAGCGTCCTGCGCCCCATACTCGAGCGCGCTGAAGCGGCGCGAGAAGTGGCGGCCCTGCTGCGTGGAACGGCGGGGGCGACCGCGGAAAGGGGRAHGGCGYTGGGAAGTGCCGTGAGAGGAGGAGGAGRCGTAACCCGTGCGCTGAGGCTGGGAGGAGGAGGCGGGGTGAAGACGGGCTCGCATCCGCTCATGGTTCCTGGCGGCCTCGTAAGCCTGCGGGGCCGATGTGAACTCGTACCGCCATAGCTCGGAGCGGTACTCGAGCGGGAGGCTGGCCAAGAAACGATCAATAAGGGCAGCCTCGGGAACGCGAACGCCACGTCACAAACGAGGCGGGCGTCCTGAAAGACCTGGATGTGGCATTCCAGGCCGGCAGCGCCATCAGAGCCGGACCAGCGTGTAGTGACGACACGCTCGAAGGCGTCAGTCACGTCATATGGGGTTCCGAAGCGATCCTCGAGGAACGCCTGAAAATCAATGAAGGTCGGAGTTCGACCCTCACGCAGGGAGTAAGCATAGAAATCCTCCGAGGCGTCGAAAGGAGCACCACGCAGGCGCATGGAGAGGTGACCCACCCACGTGTGGGTGTGGCGCCCATGAGCTGGAGCGTGCGGGTGGCAGACTGCAGCCACCTAGACACGCGTATGCTTGTACCGTCATACAAGGGAATGTCCGACAAGCGAATGAGTGGTGCGCCACCGTTTTGGCGGCGAGGGGAACGGGGAGCAGGGGGCTGCGCTACGGCGGAATAAGTCAGCGCAGATCCTGGAAGGGGAGGCGCAGCTGACTGTACGTCCGGGCCGCATGGTGGAGCGGCAGGGGAAACAACAGCAGGTTGGGGGCTGCGGTAGAAGAGGTCGCAGCAACCGAGGGGATGGGGAGGAGGTAGGATGGAGATGGGTAAGGTGCAGGGCGAGGGAAGCGAGCCTGCATAGAAGGAAGAATAGAGGACGAAGGGGGTGCGCCGAAAGGCGCGGCCACCTGTGAGGGTGAGGGTGGTTGAAGGCGTGAGAGGGCGAGGTCGGCCCGGAGCTGGGCGATCGCGTCTTCGAGACCTCGAACGTAGGTCGAGCGAGGTGTGGCAAGAGGAGACGCACGAGCAGCGCGAGGCATCCCACAAGGGGTAGAGCCAGATGGCGCTGCTGTCATGCGAAGAGGGGGGAGAAGTGGGGCACCCGGAAAAGCTGAGACCATGGTAGCGGGTTGTGGTCCCGTGGTCGTCGTGACCGGAATCTGGGCGGGTGCGCCCATGGACTGAGGGAGGGCCTGGCTCGTGGCGGCCGTCGTGCTAGGGGCGTGGACAGTCACCAAGATGGGCGGGTCGGGGGCGGCGGAGGAGGAAGCTCCGTTGTGGCCACCCTGTCGGAGGACGGGGGACCCGGACTGGGAGCCAGGAGATGGAGGACACGCAGCATCCTGGAGTTGCTGCACACCGGTGGCAAGGGTCGCCACCTGCATCTGTAAGGGCCCGAGGGTCGCGAGTTGTGCCTGGATGGGCGCAAGGGTCGCGAGTTGCGCCTGGATGGGCGGAAGGAGGGAGGTGAGGAGGGTGTGCAGATCCCCCTGGGATTGATGGCCCTGGTCCGCCGGCACGGGTGTGGAGCCCGATGCCGTGGTCATCGTCGTGTCCGCGGCGTGTGAGACACCGTCGGCCATAGGGAGATGACGGACCGGACTGGAGGGGACCAGAAGAGGTCCGCGTGAGCGGAGGGCGTAGGGGGAAGTCCATGGTAGAAAGCGGCGAACGGCGCTAGCAAGGCTAGCACGGGCGTCGTCAAAGGGGGAGGGGTGGTTTGGGTCCAGGGTGCCCGAAGAGGACGGGGAAGTAGGGGGGGTTTTAAGAACCCTAAACCCTACAAAAACCCTAAGAAAACCCTAACCGAGGTTTAAGTGGTTAGGGTAGGGTACCGGTGACCTAATCAAGAAAGTAAAAGAGCAAGCATAGGGGGGGGAAGGCGGGAGAAAATAAATAAACAGCGAGATTTCGAGAGAAAATAAAAATAAGATGTGAAGGGAAAACAATATTTATTTTTTGAAATTTTTCGGCAGCATTTCCCTACCCCCCACAGGGTCAAGAATGTGCCAAGGGGAAGGGAAAGGCCAAGGTGAGCATACTAGGTGTCAAGATGCCGCAAATAAAAAAGAAATTTCAGAAAATAAATAAAGAAATAATAGATAAAGAGATAAATAAATAAATAAATAAAGAAGTAAAAAGTGTATGAGGAGGTGGGGAGGAATGAAGTATCTAATTTGTCAAAAATTTTGGCAGCATTTCGTTACCCCCATGGGGTCGAAGTGTGCCAAGAAGACTAAGTGAAAGAAAAAACAGAAAATTTCGGCAGCACTTCGTTACCCCCACGGGGTCAAAACGTGTGCCGAAAGTAGTAAAGACTAACACCTAATCAGATTTAGGGTTGCCGTAAAGAAAATCGAATTTTCAGACTAAATAGAAAAATAAATAAAATAAATCAGGAAATGAGAAAAGAAGGTGGGAAAGAAGATATTTCGAATTTTTGGAAAAGAGAAAAGATAAATCAATAGAGAGATAGAAAGAAGAAAAAAAAACAGAAAAAATTCGAAGTAGGGGGGGAATGGGAATGAAAAAAGTGAAGGAGAAGAGAAAGAAATAGGTGGGGGAGAGAAAAAGATGAAGTGGGAGGTGGGGGATGATGTGGTTGTAGTTGGGGGAGAAGAGGGTGAGAGAATGGGAGAGAAAGAGGATGGGGAAAGATGGAGAGTGATCAAGAAAGTAAGAGGAAAGAAGGAGGAGAGAAAAGAAAAGAAATGAAGAAAAGAGGGTAAGATAGTGGTTAGTGGGAGAAAAGGTGGGGTGGTGAAGGTAAAAAGAGGAGGGGAGAGAGGCAGTGGAAGGTGGGGGAAAGAAAAGGGGAGAGAGACAAGGGCACAAGGTATACCAAGACCAGGAGGGTCTTGGCCTTCGCTGCAGCTAGCCAACTGGAGGATGGAGGGGGGTTGAGATCTTGATCAGCCCCTAGTTGCAACACTGCAGATCCAGGGTGTGCTGTGCGAGCATACCCTGGTAGATGATGATGATGATCTAGGGTTAGCTGAGATCTTGATCAGCCACCCTAGTGCCACAGTCACACAGCCCCCTAGCCAGGGGGAAATCTTGAGCTGCTGCAAATCTACAGATCTAGGGTATGCTGTGTGAGCATACCCTCACCGGTGTAGAGCAGCCCCTGAAACACAGGGGGTCTTCAAGTCCATAGCAAAGTGCCACGTGGCACTGCAGGTGGCCACGTGCACAGGCAGCAGCAGCCACAGGGAGGGGGGGGGGGGGGGGGGGTAAATAGCAGCCTCTCCCGTTGCTGCCTTGCTGGCCACTGCTCGCTGCTCCGGGGGGTAAATAGCCAGCACGACACCTCTTCAACACGAGTGTGTCGTGCTACTGCCGTGCTACAAGGCCATAGACACTCTGTGGCGAGTGTGTTATGAGGCTGCTTATGCGCGCGCATGGCCTGGCAGGCACCTGTCCCCCGAATAGAACACAGGCCTGTGAGAACAGGCCAAGGGGCTGGTCTCACAGGCCAACCAGAGGTCCGCTACAAACTGACAAACAAACAGAAAAATGGATGGATTGACAGAGCCATGGCTGGATGAAAGGACATGAGGAGGGAGGACGTATGGGCAGTGCTTTCTCTTTTCCTCTTAATGATAGCAGGAGGGTAGACCGAAGGCGGGATAGACAAGTGGCCAGAGAAGTGATAGCAGGAGGGTAGACCTAAGGCGGGATAGACAAGTGGCCAGAGAGACGGAACGACGACAGAGGAATGGATGAATGGAACTTCGGACTTCGGATAGACAGAAGGACAGACGTACAGATGAATAGACAAATAAGCAGATAGACGAAGAGAAGGACAGATGGATGAAGAGAAGGACAGATGGACAGACAGGCTGATGAGCAGATGTATGAAGAAATAAACGAGGTAGTCCCTCGTCCTTTAGGACCCTGTTAAAATTGCAATGATACAGAGAAGCTTACCATGACCCCCGCTCAAGGATGACATGCATAAGTCGAGAAATGGTCCGAATTTTAAAAAGGCATTACCGTCTTCACC